AACCCTTGGTTTCTTACCCTGCCGTATACATTTAGATGTGTCTTTTTGCCATTGCTTAAACAGTGCATCCTTTGTCAGAATAGATATTGTTTGAAATAAAAACATCATTCTAGGTAATACATTCATTTTTAGCACAGAAATTCTCCCCAACAGTGATAATTGTAGCTTTTCCCATCTTAACATTTCCTCCTTAATTTCATTCTGTAATTTAACATAGTTATTTTGAAATAACATACAATTTATATTAGTCATGGTAATACCCAGATATTTTATTTTTTTTCTCAATCTGAAAACCAGTTTTTGCAATCAATTTTTTTGATTGTCCATCTTCATATTTTTTGTTAACATCTTCGTTTGTTAATTATCAATTTTAAATCCAGCTAACACACCAAATTCCTTTAATTTTCCCATTAATAATTATCTATTCCTTCCATAATATTTTCCAAAATTAAAACTAAATCATCTACAAATGCCCTTAGTTTATATACTTCTTTTTTAACCTTCACCCTAGCAATTCTCTCATCATGTCTTATGTCTCTATTCAGAACTTCAAGAACTAGAACGAATAACAGCAGTGAAAGCGGGCATCCTTGTCTTGTCCCTGATTCTCACAGGGTTTTGTTAGTTCCCCATTAACTATAATTTGTGCCTTTTCTGAAGTATATATTGATTTCACTCATTGAATAACATTTTCTCCAAAGTCCATATCTTCCAGGATTTTAAACAGAAAAGTCCAGTTCAAATTATCAAATGCCTTTTCTGCATCAAGGAAGATCAGTGCGGCTTGATTTTCATTATGCTGCTCCAAGTATTCTAATATATTAAGAATATTTCTAATATTGTCTCTTAGTTGTCTTTTGGGTAAAAAGCCACATTAATTTTCATGAATAAAGTCTTGCAAGACACTTTTCATCCTTTCAACTAAGATCATTGTAAATATCTTATAGTCATTATTCAGTAAGGATATTGGTTGATATTTTTTTGGTAAAAGCAGGTCTTGAACTTGTTTTGGGATTGGTGCTGAATTTGCACCTGTCCAGCTGTGTGGTATCCTTCCATTATCTAGAATAGAATTCATCATTTTTTGAAGAGGTTGGAAAAATTCACTTCAGAGTATTTGAAATAGTAAGCTGGTAGTCCATCTGGACCAGGCACTTTCCCTATTTTAGCCTTTTTTATAGCCTCACAAACTTCCCTTATTGTTATAGGTCCATTCATCATCTGCTTTTGTTTATCTGTTATCTTTAGTAAATTTTGTTTCTTTAAATATTTGTCCATTTCTGCTGGGGAAATTTCTTCTCCTTTATAGAATTTTGTGTAATACTGATGGCATGCTTCTCATTCAGCTAGCTATATTAAGAAGGAGTTAGAGGAATCTGCAGAGGTGTCAGGAGTGTCAGTTAATTTTCAAAAATCACATTTGATGTTTTTTTATACACTCCCAAAAACTCAAAAGGAAATTTCCAGAGTTTTAGGTATTCCAATAGTATTGAAATCTTTAAACTATTTAGGCGTTACCAAAACTAAAATATTAATAAAATCTTTACAAATAATTGTGTACCAACTTGGAAAAAATTAAAGAAATGAAAAACTGGGCTTCAAAACATTTCAATATTTTAGGGCAAATTGCAGTGGTTAAAATAAAAATTCTTGCATGGCTTAACTTTTTATGTCAGTGCCTCCCAGTGGTAATTCCAGAACAGGCTTTAAGACATTGGCCAAAAAAAAAAAAAAAAAGCTTATGTTTCCAGGCAGAAGAACTGAGACTAAATAAAAGGATTTTATATAGACCTCAGAAACAGGGAGGCCGGGGCATGCCCAGTTTGTTAATATATTATCAGGCAGCACAGGTAGGGCATATGATTCCATTTATTATGGGAGACTTTTCTGAACAATGGATTCATATGGAAACTATGCTAGAGCCAGATAAGTGTATAAATCAATGGTTTTTTCACCCAAAATATTTTTCTAGAATAAAACAGATTGAAAATGTTTTTACTAAAACAATGCTTTGCTAGAGCCAGATAAGTGTATAAATCAATGGTTTTTTCACCCAAAATATTTTTCTAGAATAAAACAGATTGAAAATGTTTTTACTAAAACAATGCTTTGCTAGAGCCAGATAAGTGTATAAATCAATGGTTTTTTCACCCAAAATATTTTTCTAGAATAAAACAGATTGAAAATGTTTTTACTAAAACAATGCTTCAAATTTGGAAGAGTAGATACACAGTTTTGATAAAGGATGCTTCGCCTTTAGCTCTTCCAATAACATATATCAATCAGGATGATTATTATGGTTTGGCTGAAATAAAATCTTTGAGAGAATATGATCTTTATATACTAAAGGATTTTTATAGTAATAGGGAACCTTTCAATAAAGATCAGATTGGGCAATGTATAGGTGATAAGTTACCATGGCTCTTCTGGTATCAACTTAAATCTCTTTTGGCCATCAGAAATATTAGAGACTCAACAACATGGCCTATACCAATTTCAAGAATTTATTACTTCATTATTTAAAACAACCAAAAGGTACAATTTCAAAAATGTATAGGTTATTATTGCAATCAGAAATAGGGGATCCACCATATGGTTTAAAGGAAGCTTGGGATACTGATCTTGGTAATCCCATACAGGAGACAAACTGGCAGAAGTTATGGAAACCGGGCAGATTTACTTCAGGTTCAGTGCAAGAATTGCAGTGGAAGATTATACATTGTTGGTATTTGACTCCTGTTAGGCTGGCTCATATATATCACAACTATTCTCCCAAATGTTGGAGAGGTTGTCAGAAAAAAAGGTCATTTTTTTCATTTGTGGTGGTCATGCAATAAAGTTATACCTTTTTGGCGAAAAATCTTTGGGGAGATAGGTACTATCACTAATCAAAGAATTGAATGCTCCCCAGAGCTAGGCTTGCTGCATTTATTTACAGGGCCAAACCATAAGCTTAAAAATAAAGAACTTATTATTGATTTAATCTTAGCAGTCAAAGTAATAATTGTGCAACATTGGAAAGCTCTAGGTAACATAAATGAGTTGTGTATTAATAAGGCCTCTACTGTTGCTACATTAGAAAAAATTACAAAGTTAAATTAATGAGACACCAAAGGCAGGAACCACAGTTTTATCAAATTTGGATGGATTTTATGGTTTATCTCACTAGCAATAGATTATAATATGGTATACTTTGTATACATGGCAAAGTTTCATATGTATAGTACCTGTCTCTTTATTAACATTGTAATAGATCTCCATTCTATATATATTTTTTCTCTATAAGTATCTTGGATTTTTGTAAACATAGTTACCTGATATTGTTTGGTAAAAACTAATAAAATATATAATAATTAAAATTGTTTTCTTCTCACTTAATAATTTAGGCAAGTTCTTAGACTGAGATTCTTGTTGAGATCTCAAAGTAAAACAAGAGTTTCAATAGCTTTCTGATCCCAAACTGAACATCAAGAGGATCCTTCAGTGCTTCTTCCCCAGCCAGCTCTTACTCTGAGTTTCTTGTCTACAGGCTCCTGATCTGGGTAGCCAAAACTCTTGTCCTACTTGCCTGTGAAAAACAGCTCTGCCTTCAGAATACTTTCCTAACCCCCATAACAAGGAATCTTTCTTTGACTTAGAAGGCTCTAATCAATTATTCTATAGAAAGCCAGTTTGGTGTAGTGGTTAATGCATCAGGCTACAAACTGGGAGACCATGAGATGTAGTCCTGCCTTAGATATAAAGCCAGCTGGGTGACATGGGGCCAGTCACTCTCTGTCAGCCCTAGGAAGGAAGCAATGACAAACCACTTCTGAAAATCCTTGCCAAGAAAACTGCAGGGACTAGTCCAGGCAATCACCAGGTATCAAAAACTGACTTGAAGGTACCAAAAAAAAATCACAAGGCTGGGGAAATTGCAGCCCTCAACCCCCAATTTACTTTCCCCAGATCTTCCAGAAATTGCCTCTCTGAAATGAGAGAGTAAATCATCAGTACAATTTCATGCTGGTTGTGTGTGCATATCTGTGCATGTGTAAAAGCATTAAAAACAGTGAATGATTTTAATTCAAATGCTAGGACTGCCTACAGAGCCCGCATGCCTGCAGAAATGCCTATCTTACATGCAAACCTATTTTAACTATCTTCTTGCCCTATAATGAGGGGATATACACTGAATGGTAATACAAGACGTGGCCTTGCATCTTTACCCAGGCATTTGAGTAGCTAGTATTACAATCTCAAATGTATTGGAATCTAATCTCTGCTGTTTCTTTTCTATACTGGCTGATTTTATTGATGCATTGATGGTTTTATAGATTGAGTTTAATGAAAGGCAAGATAAAAATAGGCACAATTAAATAAATAAGGGATTTGACAAGACTGTGATGCATATTTCTACATTAGTGATTGCTGACTTATTTTGGAAGCGGACAGGTGACTGACAAGTGTTACAAGCTGAACTGTGAACTCTGAGTATAGCCGGGCCTGTGGTTGAAAATCAACAGTGGCTGTATGTATTGCCACAGGTCGGTCAGCATGCCTACAGTTAATTTGGGTAATCATATTTTCATCATGTTTGTAGCGCACAATTTTATCCCAGACTTGAATTCTTTAACCATCTTTTTTTTTAATTCACAGAATATTTCAGGCATTTTTCATTAATGGAGAGGGAAATTTAATTTCAAAAGAGGAGTAAGAAGGGATTGTAACAATTGCATAGTTCCCTAGATGAGGGAAATAAGCAAAATAACGGCTCAGAAATTGGAATTAATTTATCTGCAGCATATATTTAGCATTATTTAATATAGTGATTTTTAAAAATCTGTATTTCTAAAAAACTTTCTCGTGCTTACTTTTTTTCTGTTGGATTTTTGATTTCCTCTTCCCTTATTGGTCTTCCTATTTTTTTTATTTTGGCGTTATATTTATTCAGTAAACTTAAATTGTTTATTAAAGTTTAATAAACTTTAATGCTTTATGTTTTTATTTCCTTTTTCTAGGGGGATCTTTCTGCTGTTGAATGCTTGTTGAAAAAAAGAGCTGATCCCAACATTAAAGACTATGCTGGTTGGACACCACTGGTAATTTAAATGGTTCATTCTTTCCATACTTCCTTTGTTCTTTGTATCACTCTTGTTGATACTAAGTGACACAAGGGATGATTTAGATGACCTTTTTTCTCTCAGATTGCTCTGAAGAAGGAAAAACTGCATTTGCTTTAATAAACTCAAACAGTTTTGAGATCTTCTTTCTCTTGCTTTTCCTTCTATTTGTTCCTACATTGTTATGTCTGAACAAAACCAGTGTCTGTCGTCTGATGAATTTGTATTGCATTTTCAGAAGCAAGAGAATGGATTTTAAAAGTCTAACCTGAATCTGGAAACTGTGAAAATACATTACTGATAGCTATTGTATTAAAATGAGTTCACTTTTTTCCTGCTAGATAAAGTTCAAACACAAGCTTTTTCCATTACTTATAGCAAAGATTCCCTAGAATAGTTAATTAGAGCTGTAAGCTACCTGGGAGTCAGACTCAGTTGTAATAAGTTAAGTAAGTAAGTAAGTACATACATACATACATACATACATACATACATACATACATACAACCTGTAATTTAGGGGCATAATTTTCCTGCTTTGTCAAACTTCAGTTTTTAATTGATCTGATTCTTATTCTATCACTTCTGTGTTACTTTTACCCAACATTAGCATGAAGCTTGTAATCATGGACATAAGCAGGTAGCTGAGTTACTGCTACGACATGGAGCACTGCTGAATGTGACTGGGTATCAGAACGATATGCCGCTTCATGATGCTGTCAGGAATGGACATACAGAAATTGTGGAACTGTTGCTTTTGCATGGAGCTTCTCGAGATGCAGTGTGAGTAACTGTAAGAACTCTTATCTGTTTTTAAACAGATTAAAAATCTGGAGGTTTTTGCATCCCCATATTCTAGAAAAGTACTCTCTGGCATCTGATTTTTTGTTGATGAGGCTGTGTTTATTTGTATGGAGGAGCACATGATGTGAACCCTTAGCTACCATCTAAATGGGCAGTCAGAAACTTACCACTACAGAGAACAAGCCTTTGCAAAAAAGATGGAATTCTCTGTTTCCCCAAGATTTTAATTAGAATTTGAATCCATATCTCCCTCACCCAACTCAAAATGCATTGTGCTCATCCACACTGTAATTTCAAAGTAAAGATGTTGCGTTTAACCAACACTGCCAATCTGTAGAGCATGGAGTGGCAACCTAGTGCACAACCACGTAGTGCACCACAGCGTTTGTAGAGGCTTAGGACATTACTAGCATGCCCTAAAAGTCTGACTCTCTTCCCCTCCCAGTCAGGTCATTTTTGTGAAGGGACAAAATTAGGGTTAAGAGCCTTAAACCTCTGTAGTTTGAATGAGAATATAATTGTCTTTGTGATTAGATACCCTGTTTAATCAGAAAACCAGAATGTGTATGGGATACATTCTGTAGGCTGAAGTTGGTGAATTTTTGTCAAGTATCTCCTCCTTTGAAAATCTGGCCTGTCCAACAATTAATCTGATGCTTTTTATGTTTGAAATAGAGATTGTGAAGAGGTTTTCTTCTTTGGCTGCTTCTTAGTGACACTGATCAGTAACTGTTGATCGTCTTCTCCTTAGCAGTAATGAGGAAATGCCTGTTTGATGTACCAATCACAGATGATGAATTGTAGCATATATCTGTTCCTTGGTTTTATACCACTTTCTCTTGCAGCTTGAAAAGCCCACTTGAAATTCTTCTGAATTTAGTATGCATTTTACTATATGTAGTGTGTGTGTGTGTGTGTGTGTGTGTGTGTGTGTGTATGCATACTATTTAGATATTGGGGAGGAAAAGAAGCTCCATGAATCCAGGACTGCTTTTAGCTTATACAGCAGCTAAGAGAGCTGGAGACTGAGGTAGGCAGTTTGTGATATAGAACTGATGGCCACACCTATTTACAAAATTATATAATGTGACTTTGTTACTGCCTAGAGGTTCTGCAGTAAGGCAGTTTATAAATCTTACAAACAAACAAATAGATAAAATTAGGGATTGGTATGGTACCCATAGCCTCTCTGATACTCATAATACCACATAATGGTATCCTTTGACTAGGAGGAATATGTGGCTGTATATATTGACTGGAATTTAACAAGATCTATGTTTTCACATGAAAATTTGCAAGCTTTCAGTCATTTTTTATTTTTTTTAAAAAGTTGTTTTAAGTTTAAGAAATGGGCACCTATGGTACTGTGCCAAATTTCACAATGGTCTTTACCACCTGAAAAGTTGCTGACTGGTCTTATAAACTTTAAACAAGCTTGCCTTATTTGATTCTCTGCTTCTAGCCAAAATATATTTTATTGGAAAAATGTGTTTGGACAATTAATTAAATGGGAGAGGGGAAAATCTCTGTGGGCTGACTCAGGAGGTCCAGTTTGAAAATAATAAAGATGTGTCTCCCTTGGAATCTGCAAGGTCCTACTTTTTAAAACTTTCCTCTGACTAGCAAAACACACGAAACTACAAGCAGAAACTATTATATGAATCAGTGGACCTGTTAATTGCTCTGCTTGGCCTAGTTGATTTTTTTAAAGTTAATCTTCTGCATAAGCTAATTTATATTTTATAGCTTTTTTGTGTGTTTGCTCCTTTGAATTTCCTGCCTGTCTTGCTTCACAGCCAGCCAAGTGACGTGAAAAATTAGCTCTTGGCATTTGCGATTTCACTTGTTCGTAACATATTTCATTCAAATTGGCTTTTTTTCCATCTTTTCCTCCATGCACAGTGTGATTAACATTAATAAAAGATGTCTTGCTTCCTTATTTTTTAAGCAAAGAATGAATTTGAATCCAAAAAGTTTGAATCTGCTATTCGAAAGTTATTGAAAACATTTTTTAAGATCAGATAATGCTGCTTTCCTTTGCCAGCGCTTTGCTCAGATACCTTCTAGCTGCAAGATTTTTGGAGAATTGTGGCTCATACATCCTTGCAGACAATGGCATTGCTCCTCTCCACTTGGAGCTTGATGTCAGATGAATGGAGTGAAATCTTTGAGGTTACCTGGGAATGTGTTTGACTCTGTGGATCCTGAGAAAGTAGAAAGGTCCTTTGCAGCAAGAGTTCTTCCTTTGTGAGTTGAACCCCTGCCCTGCCTAACTTATTCAAGAGTGGAGGCTGGATCAGGGAAATTATGAATGCTTCTTTGAGGGAGGAGGTATTGCCAGCCACTTAAAAGACATGTTGGTCTCCCATCCTGAAGGGACCTTTCTAGATCTGGCAATATTGGACAACTTCTACCCCTTTGTTAACCTTCCCTTTTTGGGAAAGGTTCTGGAGAAAGCAGTTGGGGCCCAGATACAGAGGATCTGGGAAGAAGCAGATTACCTAAATCCTTGCCAGTTGGGTTTTGGGCTGGCGTAGGACAGAAACTGCATTGGTCACTCTTGTGGATGACCTACATTGCAGTATTTGATGGGGAGAATACAACCCTTCTAGTCATCTTAAATCTTTCATTTGGCCTTGCCATCCCTGCTTTCTAGGCTACCTTTGTGGGGGTGCGGGGTGTGTGTGGAGGCATTGCCTTTAAAGTGGTGGAAGAGGGTTCAAGATGCTAATGTGAAGTGCCTCAGGGCTCAACCCTCTCCTCATTTTGCGTAACATCTATATGAACCCACTGGGAGAAGTCTTCATTTGTTCAATTTATAAGCTACCTTAATTGTCCAAGCGACTTTGGGCAATTAAAACGATAAAACAAGTAGAAAACATTCAAACACAACATATAATATTATGTCAGGGTAGGAAACACCAAGAGCCAAGAAATAAAATCTCAGGGCTCACAGGCCTGTTGAAAGAGCCACAAACTAGGCTGAAGCCATGCAGACTTTTGGCAGGAGGGGTGTGTGTGTGTGTGTATGTGTGTGTGTATAATACTAGTCCACAGAGGAAGAATGGCCACAGAAAAGGCACATCAAGATGATATAATTTTGACTATGGAATTTGGAGCATGCCTGCTCTACTGGATCTAACAGGTTGTGTAAACATAAGAAGAAAGCCAGTTCCATCTTTGTCAAAGCAAAGAAAACTATGTGGGCATGTCCATAATGTCATCAGGAGTCAAACTGCTTGAAGAAAACAGTCACTAGTAAGTAATTGTTTAATGAAGAAACTCCCCTGTGAGTTAGTCACTTTAACATGGTCAGTGAAATCCCATGAAAATTTATAAAATAAGATGGAGACCTATTCAAATCTAACACTGATTTATTTCTCCTTTGGGTAACGAGATCATTTTATGGGAATATTCTATTCATGAATCTCTGCCTATAAAATTATATTGCCTCAAAAGGTCTTATCTAAAATGGTCAGTGTACTTATTCAGCAACAGTGCAGTCTTACATATGTCTACCTAGAAATCAAGACCATAAAATGAGATTTAATTCCAGATACATGTATAAGATTGGAACCAAAATATTTATTTTTATAGCTTCTGAAATTGTAATTAACATTTCATGTAACCTTCATTGATGAACAATATGCTTTAATTTTTAAAAACTTTATATTATTTATTATTTATTTCTTAACAAGTTTTACAGAAAGAAATAGAAAAATTACAAAATAAAAAAAAAATCCAGGAAAGAAATACATGAAAAACTACAAAAACAAAAGAAACAAAGAACAGAAAGGGGGGAAAATATTGATATATGTTACATATTAATCAAATGACAGATTCTTGAATCTATATTAGGGAAAAATAATAATTAACGATTGTCTGACTTTGCAAAATATCATAAAATCTGTGCCACAGAAAAACATATTGAGTCATTTTATGAACAGATAAAATTGCCTTTTCAAAAATGTCACACATCTCTTGAATCCAATCCTTAATATCAAAAAAATTACTAATTTTCCAAGTTCTTAAAATAATTCTCTTAGCAACACCCTAGGCCTGACACAACACAACTCCTCAAAAATAATTAAATTTCAGAGTCTTGGAACATAATTTAACATAATATTAGCACGTTTAACATACAAAGAAATCCCCATAAATCTTTTCATGTACATTAAATTATTTTTCCAAAAGGATGTGAATGATTCACAGGACCAAATCATATAAGTCAAGTGGTCCCTCAAATTTTTTATATCACCAACAAACAATCCGATGTCATTCTTCTGAATACATTCTTTGGGGTGCCCAGTAAACTTGAAATAAGATATTTTGATGAGTTAGTTTTAATTTTAAATCCATTGAAGCAAACTTAACATTTTTTAAAGCCTGGAACCATTGATATTCCATTATTGGGTGTTTCAGTTCTTTAATCCATGAACCATAAATGTCTTGTGTCGACTTTAAGCATGTTATTTCAGTTTTTGATACAAAAAGAATGTGGTTTTAATTTCAAGCATCAACTCCATCAAATAAATTAGCACCTTGGGTTTCTCAGATGCAGCCCAAGCATCTGGTCCATATTGAGACATTAAATATACGCTTGAATTGAATATATTTTCATGCTTGTGATTTAGGAGCCAGAAGCTGAAAAAAAATCTTTAAAATAGTAGTTACAAAGTATGTATTTGAGATTCCACCAATAGCTTTCAACAAAATGTTTTGCCTTCTATTTTTTGGATAGAGTCTTTCCATAAAATTAAATATTCATGAGCCTCAACATAAAAATCCAATCTACAATCCAATAAGACCCAAACATGTCTAGCTGCTCGTAAACTGGGGAACAAAATACCTGTCTGCTATATATCGACCCTACCAATTGTCAGAACCTTAATAGAAACCATAAAGACTTTCCACAGAGCAAGGTTGATGATCTAGCAGGTGTCTACTCCACATACCGTAGATTTATTTGATAAAATATAAGCC